AAAGAACTAGGAGATAATAGACGGAGGTTGTCTTAAGATTCAGCATTGCAGTGATGGGTGTCTGTATCAGGAGGAAACCACTATAGCTAGCTCCTAGGGTGGTAAAGCTGACCTGGGCTCAAGAAAGATGCCTTCCTATCAATGATACTACCTTCCACGAGCACATGCTACCCTGCAATGGAGTTCTCTTTCCTTCGAGAGTCACCCTCCTCTTCGCTGCCCACCTCTGCCCTGCATCCCCAGCCTCGGCTGAGGCCCAGTGTTCCACAGAGCCTTCTGCACCCCTGGCCCCCACACAGGCTTGCACACACTCTGCTCTGAACACCCACAGGTTTTCTGCTGGACCTGGCAATTCTGGGCTTAATTACATAGTAGGTAGTGTTACCTTCTCTCATTTCATGTCTGTTTATCTTGTTTCCAAAATAAGATTGAAACTTATCCTCAGACAGGAACTATGTTTTTTTTTCTATTGGTGCTGTCTCTAAATACTTACACACATACATACAAACACACACACACACACTATGCACAATTTTATTTTTACTCATCTTGTCATACAAAGAAAGAACACTTAGGCATATATTTATAGGTAAATATCTCCAATTGTGTCAGGCAGTGGTGGCATACACCTTTAATTGTAGCACTTGGGAGGCAGAGGCAGGCGGGTCTCTGTGAGTTCAAAGCCAGCCTGGTCTACAAGAGCTAGTTCCAGGACAGGCTCCAAAGCTACAGAGAAACCCTGTCTCAAAAAAAAAAAAAAAAAAGAAAGAAAGAAAAAGAAAAAGAAAAAGAAAAGAAAGAAAGAAAGAGAAAAAAGAAAGATATTCCCAATTGCTTTCTTTATCCCTGTGACTGGCCACTAACTCATCTTTCTATTTCTTACTAGAGCATTCTGTTTTCTGCTGAAATTTGTTGATGGGGTTAAAGTCTAAGATTGGGCTCACAGTGAATAAGACAGGGTTAGTTTTTCATTGATGGTTCCAGTCAACAGTGGCTCTAATCATGTTCCCCATTATGCCAGTCAGAGAACTGGGGTGAAACCTGTTAGAAATCATAACACAACAAAATGGTATGCTGTGCCTGAGATACTCCTAACCTAGCGCTAAGCACACAACAGATGCTCGATAAAAATGGGTTAGGTGGGGCTGGCGAGATGGCTCAGAGGCTAAGAGCACTGACTGCTCTTCCAAAGGTCTTGAGTCCAATTCACAGCAACCATATGGTGGCTCACTACCATCTGTAATGAGATCTGATGCCCTCGTCTGGCCTGCAGGTGTACATGCAGGCAGAACACTGTACACATAATAGATAATAAAGAAAACATTATTTTAAAAAATGGGGTTCAGCAGGTGTATAACTGACTCAGTGAGAAAGCATCTGTCTAGCACAAGAAAGACCTTGGGTTTCATTCAGCTCCAGCATCAAGATAATAGAAGGTGCATTAGTACATCAGTGAGTTTCTCCTATGGCATCCTCTAACTACAGGAGACGACCCTCCACACAAACATCTAGGCACACAAAGAGAGCACAGCTAACCTCCCCTGGGGTAGTTCCCAAAGGAACAGACAGATGAGTTCTCCAGAACATGTTGTTCATGTCTCAAAATAAGATCCACCTCTCATTTCAGGGCACACGTATTTTTAGTGGTCAGGGGAAGGATTTTTGTAAGGAAAACAATGAAAGGGCCCATATTGTGGGAACAGGAATTAAAACAAGCTGGGCCTCACCATCTGCAGGCATAGATGCCTTCCCACCCTGCTGCCTTTTGTGGGGTTCCATTCTGCTCTATCTGTTCCTTTTGTGCAGAGAGTGAGGCCTGGGTGGCTACTGCCCTGCTAACAAAGCTTGCACAACGTTCTTGGTATGTAACATACACTGCACATTGCCCCATCAAAGCCCTGCTGTAATTCCAGCAAAGGGACTGCCATTGTTATCATCCTTTTCCTTTTATAGAAGACAACACTGAGGAAGCAGGGTGGGGGCAGATAAGGCGATCTTGCATAAAGTAGCTGAGGAAAAGCCAATTGAGCTGGGACAGAAAAGAGGGCTGGATTCTGATCTATTTGGAAGTCCCTTGGTCCTCTGCAAGTTCCACCAGCTGCTGAGGCGCCTTGAAACTTGGGAGATACCACGCCAGTTCTGTGTACCTTTCTGGTTCTCATGGCATTTCTAGAAACTGGAGGTGGGCAAGGAGGAGTGTGAAAGAGGAGAGATGGAAATGCATCCGCTTAGATCAGCTCTTCCCCTCCCTTCCTGCCTCAAGTGAGGTGTCACAGGATGAGTGGGGTAGTGATGGAGGGATGCCAACCAAGCAGCAGAGGAGGCACAGCCTTTCCCAACTCACTCCTCAAAACGCCCAGTGTTCCAATGTTAAAGAAGCCCCCAAGATCAGAAAAAGAGTGTGGACATCAAGTAGTCAGACTGGAGTAAATTGCCCACTTTCAGGCTATGTGAACCAGGACAAGTCAGCATCTCTGAGCTTCAGGTGCCTGATCTGCAAACACGGAGTAGTTAACAATGCCGACCTCATAGGTTTGCTCTGAAGATGGAGTGCAGATGAAGCTGAGGGGCAGTAGGACCCACACGGAAGCCTCTGAATACCCACTGCCATTATGTTGATTGTACTGTTGAGTGTGCAACATGACATATGCAACCATATCTGCTTTATTATACAATACATAAGCCTATACCAAGGATAAGAACTGCAACATGGTATGGGTTGGGCACTAAAAAAGATACAGGCTGTGGTGTTACCTCTGTTTTTTAATCACCATAGTGCCAGCAATATCATCTGTTCCCACACTCCAAAGGGTGTGTAGCATTGGGGTAGACTTATATCTTGTACTTTATCTCAAATCCCAGCCAGTGAAGGCAGTATTCCTCCCCTTTGCAGGATGAGGACAAAGCTGTCCCAAATGTTTACACCTAATGGTCCTTTTCCTGCTTTAAAGTCCTGTTACCTGAGAATGCTCACTTGTTACCATGGTGACTCATGAGTTCAATGGTTGTTTCCCAGAGAAGTATTCTATGTATTAAGTCAGACCGAGGAACCTCCTGGAGCTGACTTGAGTCTGAAGGACTCCTCTACAACAGGCCGGAAGGTTTGGGATTGCACCCAAGGGCAGTTACTAAGAAGCAAAAGTATTTCATTAAAGATGTTTTCTTCTATAAGGGTGAACAGGTTCTTTTTATTGTTGTGATTATTACTATTATTATTATGATGATTTCATAGTCCAGCAGGCCAGTGTTGTGTTTTCAGTTCCAACATTGGAACTCCCCACCAGATGGCATTGTTTACAGGTTTCCTAAGTCCCTAGTTTCTTGCCCTTCCCAGACTGTAAGGCAGGACTCTCTGTCTATGTCCTTCCCGGGCGAAGTGAAGAAACAGAGACCCCAGATCACAAAGCCAGTCAGCCCCAGCTCAGGGCCACACTCAGGACACACCTCAGATCTGCATGTGCCTTTTGTGATGTTGGCATACTGACAAGAAAACCATTCTCAGCAAGCACATCTCAGAGCCAGGAAGAGAACTCTTCCACTAGGCAATAAGTGAATATGATTGGAATGAGAAGCCAGGGTGCTGGGGCTCTAATTAAGGATATCCACACACGCAGGCGCCTTTACACACATACATCGAAGAGTGTGTGGGCAACCACTGTGGCGACCCAGTGCCTTGCACGATGCAAGCACATCTCCATACGATATTTTTAGAACATTATCTAACAATGTCTACAAAATAAATTATTCATGCTCTTTTATTTGGCATTTCCTCTTCTGGTAATATGGAAATATCGATAGAAATAGAATTTCACAAATATATGCTTGACACTGTTTATGAAAGCACTGTTCAGAGTAGCAAAGAAAGCATCCAGGTGATCCATTAGGTCCTATAGCTCCACTATAAAACAAGCAGAAAATGGAATTTTACCCAAATGGCTATGACATTTCCCTTATCCCAGAGCTGAAGGGATGTCGATCACGTGTTACTATAAGAGCTAAATTGCAGTGGAATATAGCTATTTGAAAGAATTTCTTATGGGAATATCATCATCCCTCTAATGTGTGACTATAAGTGTGTGTACATCCATTTGTTTATGTGTGGTGAAGGATGAGCTTACAGAAAGGTGTGTAGATTATTAACACCAGGTATCCGGGGTGGGGGGTGGGTCTGGGAAGGACAAAAGGAGAAAAGATGCCTGCTGTTTTCTTTGTCGGTATTTCAAAGTTTTCAGTGGTTCCAATATACATATGTTATTTGTGAAATATATGAACTCTTACCCCCATGACCATTAAAAATCAAAACAACAAAACACAAAAGACAAAAGCAACCAACCAAAGAAACAAATAAAAACGTCTGAAAGCAAAGACAGAGAAAATTCTAAAATAAGTTTCTCAAATTCCGTTTTGGCCTGTTCCTCAGTCAACATCATAGGAGCAGAAATATTGTTAAAAAATACACAGCATCAAAGAGGAACAAGGACCTGTCAATCTACGCATTCTTGGAGCTAGTTAGGTTTTGTGACCATTTTCCTGTCCTAGTCTTGATTCTGGAGTAACCTGCTGAACTTAGCACCTAGGTATGTCCCCGCACCCAGAGAGGGAGTTGTGTAGCCTGTGATACCAAAGTGACTTGAAATGTTTCATCTTGTTCTGCCTCACCCCGGAGTTTGTAACTATAGATAGACCTCACCAGGAGACAGAACCAACTCTGGCAGGCAGGCAGGTCTTCTGGGGCATCAGAACCTGGTACTCTGAAGACGGGCCTTGTTCCCATGGGTTTCTTTAACCAATTATGACTCTCATTTGCAGAGTGACAACAGACAGAACTACGTACCACAGAAGTCCCGGCTCTTACGGTGATGACCATGGGACTTCAGCAGTGATAAAACCATCTGAAGCCTTAGCTTAGCTGATCCTTCTGGGCTGTCACCATCCAGTTCTAAAATCCTTAACCCATCCTACCTTAAGAGTCAGCAAGAAGGCAAAATAGTCTGACTTACCAAGCCAACTTCTGTTTAAGTACACAGACACAAACACGGGAGGCACTGTGAAGAAATCTACTACAGAATTCACTTCCAGCCAGAACCACAGCTTATCGTTGGCTGCAATAAACTGGGGGGAAAGAAATAAGACAGAAAGACAAAATGAGAGGGATGGTGCTAGCATTTACTATATGTCCTTTTGTCAAAGGACCAACGTTGGATTTCTGCGGAGTCTGGAGGATGACACTCCATTCTTCTCATATTATCCTGTATACCAATCGCTAGCTTGTTTGGGTGAACGCATAACCTTTTTAAGAAAGTGACTATATGCCACACAGGCCTTGGGAAATGATCAGACAATATACTTTCCTGTGGATCCTGTGGATCATGGAGGATGAGGAAACTCACTTCCCTGGGACTTTCTACGGTAAATTTAACTGTGAATGAAGCACATATATACTCATTCACGCACATGTCTGCAATTCCCATTTCATACAAAACTGCTCATGAGTACCATTTATCTAGTATGGGCCCCCGAATCCCACCAACCTTCACCCCTAGTTGGCTCTGACAGTGGCGATCTCAACACTGCTAAAGATAAATTGATGAGCTTAAGATACTTTTGTTCAGTTTACCTTTTAATAGAAAAACACATTCGTGTTTGAATATGTTAGAAATTTAGGAACACTGAGACAGTGAAGATGCCATTGTTTCAGGCCCTTTCCTTGAACTATATTAAGCACATATTACAGAAAATGTCCAGCTATGCAATGCACTTTCCCATAGACCTAAGAATAGAAAGCAGGTGTGCAGCCCACCATGGGGACCTCAGGCGTCTCCTTGCCTGGGTCCTGGGTGGCATGTTATCCTGGCGTTTCAGATTCTCCTACCCCACCGTGCTACTCCTGGGAGATGCCGCCAAACTTACCCGCAAGCCAAAGTAGAGAAGGAAGAACACGTTGAAAGCCATGTCGATCTGTAATGTGAAATCTTTGTAGAAATTCTGGCAGGATTCTATTGGGCTATTAGGATGGGAAGAAGAAAAAGCAAGAGGTAAATAAAAGACAAAGAAAATCTCGTCACAGCTTCCACAATGCTGAGAAATGGTGGGTGGGGTAGAGGACAAAATGGACGTTCATTGAATACATTTGGTCTTTCTACCCCTTGTGACCATCAAGCAAGCACTGCCAAAGGGGTTTCCATTCAACCATTCAGTGTTTTCTTCTTTTATTTGCTGGGGGGTGGTGGTGGCAATTGTAGATATTTTTTTTTTATCATCATTCAACAGTTGATCTGAGACTCAAAGGAAGGTCATGCAGACTCCTTGGAGGAAGGACAAGCAGGAAGGACTACCAAATTCCTTGATTTCACATTAACCCTTAAAGAACTGATTTCTTCAATTAAAAGGACTTATCACAAGGCTAAAATATCAGATCCTATGCCCTCCAGCCCATTAGAAGTGGAGCCCATTTTCCAGTAGCTATGTCTGGATCTTAGAAAAGCTATTAGCAAATTTGTAAAGGACTCAGGAGCATCTCAGGACAGCTCTGGAGGAGAGGCTCCTGGTTACCGTTCTAGCTAGTCTAAGCATGGACTTCTTGTGTGGTACTCTGCACTGGGGAAGGAAGCAATGTTCAACAATAAAATTCAAGACCATTAAACTAATGTATGGAAGCAGTACTCTAAGGGTTAATTTTGTTTGTTGTTGTCGTTGGCATGCAGGTTAATGGGCTTTGTTGTGTGTGTGCCAAGCAGCCAATGCGCACCCTCTCCTCCCCCCCCCCCCCGCACACTTCTATTTTGTTCAAGAATCGGCAGTTCCAAAGGGTACTACTATACAAACTGGTACAAGGCTTCCATGAGAGTTCCCACAGCAAACTGATCAGAACATCTCTGTGTGAACAGTGCCGAAGGTTGGAGCAGGTGGGAAGCACCAAAGTCTCACAGACATATCAAAACTATAACAGAAATTTCAGTAGACTGCTGTCTATAAGCAAATGGAAGCATCCAGGCCGGGAATAATAAGACAGTGAGATGAGAAAAAGGGAGGGAGAATGGAGGGACCCCCGAATTCTTCAGATGGGAAGCAAGCTGGACCTCCCCGACCATGAGTCAAGGAACTGCAGAGGTGCATCAGGAAAGATTTCTGAGCAGCGTTGCCACTTTAGAAATCATTGCATAAGATACCAGTTAGTATAGTTGTACTTCAATCAGGGCAATGCTTGGCTGTTCAACAGGCAGGAATTGGTGCAGCCTAGGAATGCAGGGCCCACTCAGAGGTAAGTCAATCTATGGGAACCTCCAGTCATGTGACATGCATTGGCTTTTCCCGTTCTTCATTGGGATTACAAACCAAACATGCCCCTGGTCATGTTCCAAACCACTGATATGTGGTAACCCTCTGCACACAAAGGCAGAGAAACCTATTCTTGCATTTACAAAGTAAGCCGACTGAACAAAAGCTATAGAAAATGGTTGTTTTACAGAGGAAATGACAACTGCCGAGTTCTCACTAAAGCAAGAAAAGTGAGAGGGGAGACAGAAGGGAATCTGGTTAGTCCAGGGCTGAAAAGAGGCAGGAACAAAAGCTTACACGAAGCGGCCTACCATTGTTCTTTTTGTCCCTGCCCAAGCATGAACTTAAATGAAAACTAGGGCCTGTAGGTAACAAGGGACATGTTTATAATTCTTAAGCCATGGTGTGGTATTATCAACATCAAGAGTACAGTGTGTTCCTAAAATATGCATGAAGGGTGACAGGAAAGATCTACTCCAGATCCCAGGGATCTTAAGTTGACAGTATGTATCTCTGTGGTGAGAGAGCCACTGGCAGGATATACTACTGAAAATTAAGAGGTGTGTGTGTGTGTGTCTGCATGTGTGTGTGTGTGTCTGCATGTGTGTGTGTCTGCATGTGTGTGTGTGTCTGCGTGTGTGTGTGTCTGCATGTGTGTGTGTGTGTCTGTGTGTGTGTGTCTGCATGTGTGTGTGTCTGTGTCTGTGTGTGTGTGTGTGTGTGTGTGTGTGTGTGTGCAAGAGAACAAGTGAGTGAAGATGCAGGAGATTTGTATAAGCATCACACTCATGTACCACTGTGCTGGCAGGAACTTGGATTCCACATTGAAAGTACATAGTCACAGATTTAGTTGTACACAGTGTCAAGGGAACCAAAGGAAGGCCTTGGGTTCAAGTTCACCAAGGAAAATCCATAATTACCTCATTAAAGCCAAGAAATAAGCTCAATATTGCTCTCCCAATAGTCATGGAAGGAGATATTGGTGGCATTTAGGGAATCTTGTTAATTCTCTAGTGCCTATTAATTCCATGAGTTTGTGGATTAATTTAGGAACTTCTAGGAAAACATTTTTCTGGACTCTATTAGAGAGATAACATTTAAGTGTCACTGTGGTTACTTTTGTTCAATAGAAATGGGAAGAGATATTCAAGAAAGTATTAACCATCAGGCCACAGCAACTCTTCCCCATTGTTCCTTGATTTCCTGGTCAGTTCTTTTGTTCTGGTGCTTTCCATATCACACAGTGTTTAAGTGCAACAATGAAAAGACTTTACTCTAAAAAGATGCCACGTTGAAAACCAAATCTCAACATTCCATCCCCATGTATAAAAAGTATTCAGAAAACATAATAGACCTTGTCACTGGCTGCTCAAAATTTAAAACTGACTTAACCATCACCTCCTTACTATTCACTGAGTTCTACACTTTGAGCTAAAACAATAAAATAGAAGCTGTTCTGCTGCTTTGAGTGGCTGTTTTTTTTGGCTGAGGTACAAGGTAACAGAAATACATCCTGAGCTATGGAACAAGGTTGGGGTAAAGGGCAAGAGGTGGGAAATTCTGAGGCAGAAACTGAACTGAGTCTCTGGGAAGTCAGGTGGAATGGAAGCATTCTGGTGACACATTTTCTATCTCTTTTAGCAACTTCCCCTGCAATGGGAATGCCCGGAACAACACCCTGCACGGTGTTTCAAGTAGCAAGGGAACTATTTATCAGGATCCATTCTGAGATAAATCCTCTGAGTGCCTATAGTTCATGCTCTCGCACAATCAGAGACCACAGAGTGGAGATCCAAAGCCCCATTATTTCATTCCCCAAATGGAAACAACCCATGGAGTTTACTGATCTTTTCAAAAGATAATCCGTAACTCAAGAGCCAAAAGGTTGGCCTCTCAGGATTTATTTTTCTCCCCAAGAGACTTTCTCTTAGTGATTATTACTCATTGCAGGAGGGAACCGAAATGGAAGCGCCTCTTCGGTCTTGTGTAAAGCGCCAGGGTTTCCTTGTCTACATCTGCAGATGGCAGCCGGGAAACGGGGCTGCTATTTAAAACTACAAAAGAAAAGGATTCTGAGTCACATTCTTAAATTTAGATTGCCATTCTGATGAGGCATGCCCACATCAGAAAAGGCTTTGGGTGAACGTGCAATGCCAATCATGGGTAGAGGGGTTAAGAATAGAAAGACACCAGTTCTAACACTGACAGCAGCAATCTGGCCAACCCTAATCCATTCCTAGTTAATGAATAACTAGGTAAGTAGAGCATGTTATCCTTATATCCGATGGAATTTTCATTCCTAGGCTCCCACAATCTATACAGATTGGGTGTGATACTGAAGCCTTTGGGACATTTAATGTCTTGACCAGGAATCTAAGATCGAGGATCTTTCCAAAGATCCACACTAAGAAGTTCCTTCTGTTGAGACATGTGCAATATGGGGCATAGCTGAAAATGAACTTCTTGAAAGCATTTGCTTAGCATGCAGCTGTCTACAAAGGAAATAAGACACTCTGTATGGAAAATGGATCCCTTTCTACATATCCTAAACAATACATTTTCCTGTAAATAGGTTCAGTATGATGATTCAATAGGTAGAACTTTCTGGACTTGGCTTTGGAACTTGTCAGAGCACAAGGCCACTCTTTGGAATCTTGTGTCATCTTGAAGCAGGAAGTGCCAACATTTCTCCTAACCCTCCACACTTCTCCTCATATCCCCAAATGCTGTTTTTCTATCTCCTGCCTATGGCTGCCCAACTCCATGAGGCTATTTTTTCCAGACTCTGGTTGTCAGACTCTGGCCTTCATAGGCCTTGGCTCCAGTTCCTGATTCCTTACTCTGGATTAGGGGTCTAACGTTGGCCTTTTCTCCCAGGCTCCCAAACAACAGTTCAGGGACCCCACTTTGCTAACCATGACTTCTGAAGGCATTCCTAGGAACTGCACACTACTTACAGGTACCATTACTCAAGAAGACGCCCATCCAGACCTGAACAGAGAAGATTAAAGAGATTGAGCCTGTCCACAGACAACCAGATGCATACCACTTAACTAATCGCTAAGATCAAGGCTTGAACAGATACTTTCAGTTTCAGATATGGAAAAGAACAGGGGTGTGATTACAATACCACCTTACATGATTCAACGGTGGACAATTAACAATCAGCGTACCCGCTGAGTACATTCTCAGTTCTAGATTAAAAGGGAAAACTGACAAAGTCTAGATGAGGAGGGGTGAAGGGGATGGTGCTTTCCTTACAGGAAATAAAAAAATGCTAAGCATCTTAGGAACACAACAAGCATTCGGAATGATAGAATAGGAAAGCGACTGGTAGGGAAGCAAAGTAGCACTTTGTATAATAATTTCTAACATTCTGATTCCCCCCACTCTTGAAGGCTAGTTCCTTTTAAAATTGAATGGAGCCTTCTCAAGCCCCACCAGGATTACACACAAGAGGTCAGACTCAAGGCACTGCAGACATGAATCAATTCAATAAGCTTAATGATAGCAGACTCTACTCATCCAGCTCACATCTGCAATGCTGCTAGATTAATCTAATTAAAAGATGTCATTCATGGAGCATTAGGGACCTTCCTGTTTCAAATACCAACTCTGAGCCCAGGTGCAAAGAAACTCCAAAACCTACTTCCTTCTAAAGTTCTACAGTTTTTTTGTTTTGTTTTGGTTGTTACTGCAAACTGATTACTTTGTTCCATCAGGAAT